CTCCCCGAGCTGTGGTTCCGGCCGGGGAATACGCTGCCCGAAGACGAGGAGTTCAGCCCAGGCTGGTGTTTGTCCAAACGGCGACTCCTCCTTTCATCCTCTCCCAGAGAGGACCATTTGGTGCACACCACGTTGCGTCTCGAAGCAGCAGCCGCAGGGCCGATGACGCACAAGCTGGGAAAAGTCCAAGGCGCGCGCCCAGCGAGGGAGCAGTACCCCAACACCAACAGCAACGCCGCACAAACAAAAAAAAAAGAAAAACATTCCACAGCAAAAACAAGAAACAAAAACTAACACTGAGGGTTCCGAGACACCCCTCCCCCACCCACAAAGAAAAACAAAAACACAATGCCGGGAACGCCGATTTCGGATCGCTCCCCCTCTTCTTCCCTTTCCCGGGTTACGGAACGCCGATTTCGGATCGTCCCCCCTCTTCTTCCCTTTCCCGGGCCACGCACTCTACGAGGTTCCGATCCCATCGGGTTGCCTCCGGCTACGCGTGTTGTAGCTGTGCCGCGGTGGTCCCAGGAACTCCTGAGATCGTTGGCGCCCGCGAATGCCCCTTTGCGGCCGCTTGACCGGCTCATCCCCTTCCCTGGGGAAAAAGGGTTTCAGTTCGCCGATGTGAACTGTCCCGCGGACGAGATCAGAATTCTGGTCCCTCAGCGTGTATGTCAGTCGAGACTTCTTGGAATCGATGACAAAGGGGCCAACCCACTTGGGGGCCAACGCCGCCGAGAAGAACTTACTCGCATCGCTCTGCACGTGACTTCGCCGCAGAACGGTGTCGCCCACCTCGAACTGCGCATCGCGGTGCGCTTTGTCATAGGTGTTCTGCTCCGCCCGCGCGCGAGCCCTGTTTCCGCGGGCGGCGTCCAGCGCCCGCGACAGTCGCTCTCTTGTGCGCGTCGCGAAATCCTCGTACGAGGGCACCGCTCTGGCCGCGCTCTGTAAGGCCTGAGCGAACGCCGCAACCAACGCCGTGGATTCACGGGACATCTCCGTGCTTTGCGGCATAGACACGACCGGCGCTACCGTCGGCGTGTCCGGACTCGGCGCTGCGGTCATCGCCGCGCCGTTCCGCTCCGCCAGCCCCGTCGATGTAGCGACGTCGGCCAAAAACATTAAATCCGTGAGGGCGAAATTACCCGTGGCCATCTCGAACAGTTGTTTGGACGTACCCTTCACACTTTCGCAGTGCCGCGGTATAAACTCGCCAACCAGGGGGACCGCCCCGCGTGAACTTCCACGCAGTGTCGTCGACGGACGTTGCGACCGTAATTACGGCTCGCCTGCCCCAACGTTGATGCGCCATTTGTAGGAAATCGCGTACCGCCGCCGATTCGCCATTTCCCACGTGGTCCGTCAACAAACCGAGTCCAGCCTGGTTCTTTCACGGGAGCGGGATTCCGCTCCCCGTTTATTCGTACAATAAAACACAACCCTACAAAACACTCAATCTAAACTACAAATACAAGCTACATTACACAATTATTTACAAATGCACGTTCAGGCTAAAGCTAAACACAAAGAAGGCCTTAGGCCTCGCGTCCCGCGATATCCTAGATCCGGTCGCCACCCACTTGCCTGCCCGCGTCTCGGTCTCGTCCGGAGTTCTTAGAGGCCTCTCGCCCCCTGCCCCACCGAGTATATCTATCGATGGGCGAGGAGGTTTCTCCTCGCCTGCCACGGGGGCGCCTGCAGCGCCCTCCAGTGGCTAGGAGAGAAAGCGGCGCGTCGGGAGCCGAATTCGAGATCCCGATCGACCAGGGGGGTAAAGGTGGGCGAGGAGGAGTGGCAAATCCCGTGCGCCGACATCCTGGGTCCCGAGTGAACGAACGTAAAAGAGAGCGACAGAACACGAGAGAAAGAAAGCAACGTTGCCATGGTAACGCGAAGAGTGAAAACTCTTAGCAATATAAACAGTGATAATTTAACGTTGTAAACTAAATTATGAGCTATTCTAACGCTTATAAAAAGCAATAAACTCATTACGCTGCATTAACTTCCCTTCTGTCGAAATCTCGGAAATCTGGTAGTTGCGCAGTTTCGTATTCCTCAACCGCGCCCAGCCGCGCCCCACTGGCGAAGCCGGGTATATGGTTTAGTTTAGCGTTAACGCGAGGCCGTACATCTGCGCGCTTTTCAAAAAGAAAGCTTCGAAAGGAACGTGAATATCTTTCCACCGGTAAGTTCGTGAATTGTTGAAGTTCACGAAACTGCTCTGATGATGTAACCGTGTTTGGGACCCAGAAGGTCTGCCTGCATGATCCGCCGCTTGCGGCAGCCAGAATGTATGGGAAAATGGCGGACCTTTTCCTCTAGAGTTAGTATGTATGATCTCTATGCGATCGACCCCGCGGCAACACGACCATGTGATCGTGTCGCGGCCAAGATTGGCCGAATGGTTTGATGGGCGCCCTCGTGAATTCACGGTGCGCCATAGCGTCGAAAGGAAGGGCTGGCGGCGTGTTCAAAGCATCCTTGGCACGCCGAAGTGCCATGTCTCTGTGCCTTCGCACGCTTGGATACCGACCAAGAACCGACGCCGTGTGTATGTGTTCAGCGAGTGCAATGTGCGTGAAGCTGTTCGTGCCTCTAGATCAGCGTCTTTCCCTCTCGCAGTTTAGGGAACGAGCTTAATCCAGCGTCCACTAGCGACGGAAGATGGGGAGAAGGTACGTCTTTTTTTCGTCCTTAGACGATTTACACAATACCGTGCACAACAGCTCCTCATCACTGATCAGTGCTGGCTTATTATCAACCTACTTAATTGCACTTGACGTTTGAGCGCGGCTCGCCTAATTGTAATTGGTCAACAGATTGCACACGACCATATCGGCCGCGCTTATTCAAAGATTTTCATTCTCGCCGTCTTGTACTTTTGCTTTCGAAAACCCCCCTGGCTCCACAACGTTGCCCTATTCGTGCTCCCACGGAATCTATTAGAGTAGATTTGGGGCATAGCCATGGTTAATATAGTACATAAGAACACGTACAGATCTCCCCCTTTTATTGATAGCAACTCACCGGAACAGCTGGACGATCCAGAACTCCGTGGCCGATATATATAAATGATCTAAAGGCATCTACGCGCGACACACGTTCAGAACTTTGGCGCGGCGTCAATTCTTGACCGGTATCCAAGCGTGCGAAGGCACAAAGATGCATCACTCGGCGTGCCAAGGAAGCTTTGATCACGCCGCGACACCGGCGACACGTTTTCGACGAGTTGTACCTTTTGATACGGCTTCACGCACATTGCACTCGCTAAACACATTCACACGGCGTCGGTTCTTGGTCGGTATCCAAGCGCGCGAAGGCACAGAGACACGGCACTTCGGCGTGCCAAGGATGCTTTGAACACGCCGCCAGCCCTTCCTTTCAACGCGTTGTGCCTTTTTCCTGCGACACTGCACTTTCGTAAACTTTTCCACGTGTTCACAACGGCAAGTCTCAACAATACACAGAGTCTTCAAAAAACTTCTTCGGCGAATGACGACGAACGAGTAGAAAACGTGTCGTCAGCACGCTGGAAAACCGCAGCAAAGGCTAGCAAAAACGGCAAATCGTATCCCAAGCGAGTGAGGCCCGGTGGCTTCACTTGCGGGAGCGGCAAGCGCGATCCAGCAATTGTCATTGAGATCAGTGATCTACCCACACCAGCAGCAAGATGGCGGCGCCCAGAGGCCGTACTTGCAAACGTCTTCTAATATACCATTGGCATATTGCCTTTCCTGCATTTAGAAACGTTTGTGCTGGAACCACATCCGGAATTTTATCGCCTTCAAGAAACGTCAAAGCAAGAAATATGTACCAATTTTTATTTTGTGAACTACGTTTATCAGGTTGGGTTTACGCCTTCGTTACACGGCAAGGCTTTTTAATTTGTTTCATTCTGGGAATAGTACATGGACATATTCAGCGGAAGAAAACTGTGACGTACATTTAAGTATACTATTTTGTTGGTAATTGAAACGTCTGCCTTTTCACCGATGTTTGTTTGCAAATAATCTTGCCGCCGCCCCCTATCGGCGGACCCCTGCGCGCTTCCGGTTTTCCTCTTCTTTTCTGTTTATTTCGCATCTTCTTTTTTTTTTTTTCGTATGACTTTCTACAATGCGCGCAGGCTCTTGCAGACGTATTACAGGTACTTCTCCGAAAGAAAACCTTCTTACCCGATCGATCGCTGTGCATTGCTGAAGAACAAAAAAAAAAAAAAACACTACCGGAAGTCTACTGAAGCACCGATTACTCTGGCGCCCTCGTGATATCAACTCCCGCCGAATTCGGTAAATTACTTCTCGTTATATTTCTAAATAAATGTGACGAGAAAAAATATAAAAAGCTTTAAAATATTGGCCTGATGTCAATCTCTGGTCTTGGCGAGTCTCCCGCGCACGATATGCAAAACAATACCGGAAAGCCTATAATGGGGAACATATGAATGGCAAAAACGGGCACCGCGTGCTGATTCCCACAGCAACAGCCCAGGACACTGTGACATGGACCTATGCCAAGCCGCCACGTCACAGCGTGCGCGCAAGTTGCCATGGAAACTGTCGCGCGGCGCCCGTTTTTGCCGCTCATATGTTCTCTGTTTAAAAGCGGCAGCAGACGCTTCGATAAGACATTTAACGAAGCGTTCGCTTTTACTCTGAGGCTTCTAGGACGTTCATAAATATCTTGTACTTTCTACTAGCTTCAAATATACACAATCGTGCTAAGTTTGGAGAATACAACTGGCACTAAAAAGACGCTGGCGGGGATCTCTTAACACAGACTCACATTATGATGGCAATTATGTTCAATAAGCACTTCCGGTTCCGGTGGGTTGTCATTAACAGCTGTTCAGGCGTCGTGGTTTGTACTTGGGCGTTTCGAACGACGCAATGTGATTGGCTGCGATGCGATAATGAGATGCTCAAGACACGCCACGCCCTGAATTTCTTATGTTCTGAGGGACTATAACAATTTTTTTTTTTGTCTATTTACCGTAGGATGATGTGGTCGGTGCAAGAGCCCTGCTGCAGCAGAACGAAGATCCCTGGACGCTGGTGAGCCTGGGTTGCGTGGCCTACAAGGAAGGCCGACTCGAGGACGCTCTGAATCTTTTCACCAGCGTGCTGGAATCCCAGGGAGAGGCATCGCCGCCGCAGCTCTCCTACGCCGTGGCACTCTGCCACTACGCGCGCCGCGAGTACGCGCCAGCGCTCCAGCACCTGGGTAACATCATCGAGCGCGGGATTCGAGACAGACCCGAGCTGAGCGTGGGCATGGCTACCGAGGGTCTCGAACTCCGCAGTGTTGGAAACACCCGCGCCCTCCACGAGTCCGCGCTGGTGGAAGCCTTTAATCTCAAGGCGGCCATAGAGTATCGTCTGAACAATCCTTCGGCTGCCAAGGAAGCGCTGACCGACATGCCGCCGCGCGCCGAACCCGAACTGGACCCGGTGACCTTGCACAACCAGGCGCTTCTCGAGGCCGACACGGAACCCGGTAGAGCTCTAGCCAAGCTACAGTTCCTACTGCAAGAACCTCCGGAGGCCTTCGGCAACTTGCTTCTTTTGTGCTGCCGGCTCGATCAGCACTCACTGGCTGCTGATCTTCTCGCTGAACACGCGGCTCTCACGTACCGTCTGCTGCCGCCGTTTCTCTACGAGCTTCTGGAAGCTCTCTTAGCTCAGCACACGGCCCCGCAGGAGGCCTACGTCAAACTGGAAGCCCTCGCGGCCCGGCAGGGGGACCGCGTTCGCCAGCTTCGCCAGCAAGGCGCCCCCAAAGCTCACTGCGACGCCGTGCTGACAGAACGGTTTCTGCCGGCACTAATGGCTCAAGCGCGAATACCCTGGGAAGCGAAAGACTACGCGCTCGTGGAGCGCCTGTTCCGCCGCTCCGTTGAGTTGTGTAGCGAGCAAGACTGCTGGAGGCTTAACGTCGGCCACGTCCTCTTCGTTCAAGAGGGAAAGTTTCACGAAGCCGTGGCCTTCTACGAGCCTCTGGTGGAGCGTGAGCAGGACCTGCTCAAGCTTAGCCCGGCGTTGCTCGCTAACCTGTGCGTCGCCTACATCATGACCGGTCAAAACGAGCAAGCAGAGGCCCTCATGCGCCGCGTCGAGCAGCACGAAGAGCAGCTGGCCTACGAGCGTCCTGGCCAGAAGATGTTCCACCTGTGCATCGTGAACCTGGTCATCGGCACCCTGTACTGCGCCAAGGGAAACTACGACTTCGGCGTGTCGCGAGTCATCAAGAGCCTAGAGCCGCACGCCAGCAAGTTGGGTACGGACACCTGGTTCTATGCCAAGCGGTGCCTGCTCTCGCTCCTCGAAAACCTCGCCAAGCAGGTGATCCTGGTGAGGGACTCCGTACTGCACGACTGCCTCGAGTTCCTCGCCCAGTGCGAGACGCACGGCAGGTCCCTGCCGGCCCAGGACCGCCTGGCGTCCACCCGCACTGTCGCCTTCGAGGCTCGCCTGCTCAGGGCCCTCGCGCTGCGGTTGCTAGCCGCCGAGCCACCGATGGGACGCTGATGCATGCAACGGCACACTAGTGAACGGAAACGTTACAACAGGAGTCGGTGTACCTGAAAAAACCTGATTCTTTGTCCTTGGGCATTTGAGCAGATAGTTTCTGACAGCAGCGGTATTTACTCGTCTCCGCTTGCTGCGTGTTTCCCTTCTTCCTCAATTTCGGGTATGAATATCATAAATCACACGAAGTTTCTCTTGGTTCACCTCGCACTGCCACGTGTATGGGCACCGTAAAGCGGGTACACACTGGGTCGCACAAAGGGTCTTTCTCCTTTTGAACAAGGCTCGATCGCCCGAGGACTTCGCAGGCCTCGTAAGACATGCTCTACTTCTCTAAGGACAGGGGACGCCTGTATCGCCTCCACTGCCAAGGTTCCTCTGTACCCACTTTCAGTTCGGATAGCTAAAATACGACAAGGAAATTCATGAGACACCTGCGTGTCATTCTATCCTCTCGTGAGGCAAGTGCCCGCTTAAAAGTTCGAAGATGGCGTTTTCGAAGACTTCGTTGATGCGTTCCTTAAGGGCGAGGTTGGTTCGTCTGATGATTTGTATCACGTGCTGTCGGGGTATGTGCGGAGACATGAATGAAATGTCCTCTTTTTGACTTACGAAATGCTGAAGGCGGACGGGAACAGTACGCACCATCGCGTACAATATGGCGTGCACAATACCAAGACGATGTTGTGTGCGTCCTTTTTGTTTCCGTGCCTCCGGTTTTATTATGTTGGCTAGTATTCACTAGCTCACCTGCGCCCTCAGTCTTTCACTGTTATGTCTTCATGCTTGACGAAGACAAGGGTATGATGGACGAGGCTTCTTCAAAAGCAGAGTCCACTACTTGAAGGGTAAGTTTGAGACGGTAGCTGATGAGCTGCGCGCCATTTTCGACCATCTACCTCTGTCTGATGATGTGGAAAGGAAGAACGGAGAGGACGACACGGTAAAACTATATTGTGCGCAAGAAAGAAGTGGGGGACTAAAGACTGCATTTCACGCCAGAACTGTTGAAATGAATGCTGGTATGGGTTGCCGCAGCTGCCCGAAGGTCGGACATAACGAGTCTTTGGGAGTGTAATTCTGGAGCGGGCAGGTTACGTCTCGGGAATTCAATCTGAGGAATTTCGTTTGGTGCACCATTGGACGTAGAGATGTCACACGAGGTTTGTTTGTCCTCAGTTTGTCGGTTAGTTAATAAGTAGTAGTTTGCTCAATGGTGACGATCCTCTCTGCAATCGAAACTGCACCGTGAAAAGTTATACCTGGCTTCACGCCGACAGATGGCGTTTATGTACTATGCCAGAAGCCGAACGGATTGCCCCACGACGGAGTTGCAGGCAACTTCCAGCGGCCTGCAAAGGCCAGTTGCAAAACTAAAAGAAGACTGGGAAAACTGGTGGAGGAACGTTCACCTCAGGGGGCATCAAGATTCGCACACCCCCATGCTTGTGCATAAACCTGGTTCTTCGAGGCCGCCCGTTTCAAAGGAAAGAGCTGCATCATCAACATCATCACCATCGTTGTCGGATGATTTGTTTTTCGGTTTCATTATATTTTAGTATTTTCTTGTTGAATAAATACTGTATGAAGATGTCTTAAGAATTTTTAAGGAGTAATTATTTTCCTGGCTTTAATGGCGATTGAATAAATACTAGTAAAAGGGATTTAAGCTGCTGCAGAAGTTAATTCACTCTTACTATAGGCCAGATCAACGTGGGCACATTCAAAACTAAAATCTTCATTATTACATCGTATGCGGTTACTTGTTTTGTACTTCTTGTGCGCCTATCATGTCATAGACCGACTTTAGATGGCCGAATCATTTGACTGTGCTAGCACCATCTACCAAAATTCTTGCTTCATTTTTGTCACTAGCCGGGAGAGCACAGGTTTTATAACCAGGAAGTTCTGAAGAGCCCAGGAACTCCAGTTCAGTGGCACTACATAATACAATTTTCTATTAAAAAAACTTTTTTTTTCTGGTAAAATATGATATTTGACTTCTACTTGACAGTTGTTCTTATTGATTTGGTTGGCTACGAAAACGTTCACGTAAAGAAACACTTCACCCGTACCAGTGGTACGTGTGTTCGCAGCTGAACCTCCGTACTCGGGGGCTCATCTGCGAAGTGATAAAACTACGAAGTTGTTTGTAATATTAAAATGCCATTGAATTTATAAACGATGAACTATAAGTCACGACCCAGCAGTTCATGCAAGAAACATCCGGGCGATTAAAATTACCGCATATAGCAATATGACCAGGACAAAAAAACTCAGTACATTTGATAATGAAAGACAGGTTGAGTTGGGCTTGATGGCGGCATTAGCGAGCCAGCGAAATATTCATCTCTAGAAAGATTTAGTTTACAGCAATCCCTCTCTCTCAAAATATGTCGCTAATGTCTTTGGGAATAATAGTAAATAATGTGTGTATGTCTCTACAGCCGGAAGTCAGTCATCTTCAATGGGCGCGTGGTGTCTCGGCTGTAGATGAGAAATTTAGCCAGCGCAGTACAACCGCTATAGCCTCGCGTCTTTGAAGGGGCGGTGCAATGATTTTAACACTGAACGAATGTGCAGCTCGTATTTTTTATATTGTTTACTTCGGCATAAGTAAGAGAAAAAGTACCACCATACCCCAAAATACCTCTTTTTCGCTGCGTAATCGCAAAATAAAGAACGCTTTTTTTCCCAACCTGCGGCCACATGGTGGCCGCAAATGGAACCTGTGGTGTGACGTCATTCGGAGTGGTTTTTGTAAGTGATAGTGTTAGGCAATTGTAAGCTTGATTTAAGGTTAAGTTTAAAAAATCTTGTTGCTTAGGCATGCAGAAACGCTTCAGAAGCCTAATATTGCCGCTAAAAGGGTATGAATTATTTGTGGCGCCATCTAGCGCAAGTCAACAAAGCCTGCCATTGCCGTCGTCCGTCGACGCCCGAGGCGCCTACGGCGGCTACACGAGCAATCCGGACGTTTTCTTTCCCTCGCTCGACGGAGTGCGTTGGTCGTGGTTCGTGGTATCGTGGTATCGTTACTGTTCCTGGTGTCTCGACCTCGACTTCGACTTCGATTGCCCGCCGCGTCGACTGCCGACGTCGCTCAGGCCGTCCGCCCATGCCGCCATGTTGGTCGGGAATCGGCGGGAGAGCGGGAGAGGGGCGAGCCCGGCGAACCGGCGAGCGCTGGGGAAGGAAACGGAAGCCAGAAGAACCCAACCGGAAACCAACGCCACTCCGAATGACGTCACAGGCGAAGCTGGTGCCGCTTCAATGTTGAGTTGAGGGGTGCCAGAGATACCAATTTCTTTTATTTTTTTAATGAAAACTAGGGCAAGCAGGAAAGAATAGTTTTCGGCCCTTCGTTTTATATGTGGCCGGAATCAATTCCCGCAATTAATTAGCCAAAGTCCGGAAATTGTTGCACCGCCCCTTTAACGTGCATCACGCAGTAGCGATACACGACCGCGCACGTCGGTACGATGCTCATCCAAATCGAAACTGGCAGGGGTGGGGATTTAACCCAGGATTTCTGGGTTCCGCAGCTGTTGTGCGCTAGCCCACTTGGCCACCGATCCCCCCTTTCTGGGAACAATGAATAAGCTAATATTATAAAGTAAAAATACTCCGCCACCGTAATTATATGGTTGGTTCAATTCACACTGAAGTTCGAAGGGTTCTAAGGTATCATATGATTCAGTACCAACAACGACGTCTGGATTGGCGAGTAAAATAAGGCTAGCAATATAATCGATTTATTGAAATGCTTTAAAGATAACGATAAGGTCAACTATCATAAACATACACTCATTAGCTGATGTTGCCACTTTCTCGGAACCTTTCTTGTAACTTTCTAGCAGCAATATTCTACGATGGACCAGGAACCTTCATAAAGCAAATGTAATAGCTATTACGTTTAATAGAATGCTTCATAGATATCTGTTTGAATCAATTTCCCTTTTGCTTGGCGTTCTGCGTTCCTGAGCGTGCACAGGCCGACTAACTGGCGCTTCTTTGACTATACGATAGTTTCGCCCTGGCTGGTAAATTTAGAATCTAACACATATTTCAGTTTTTTTTTTTTTTCGATTCATCGATCAAATCAGCGGACGCTAACTCCAGTCTCAGCGTTCCAGACACGCGATGCCCTGTCAGCGCCTCTCCCTTTTGTAAAGTTACTTTTTCTTTTTTTACAGCGGTAGTTTTTCATAGTCTCTTCCATGGCTATGGCTCTTCCCAACACTACTTGTCGATGTTAATGCTCTAGTTGTGTACTTGGCGTAGTAGGGTGTCCGTTGTCGGCATTTCCAAATCCTTGAAAAAAGTCGCTCGCTGCCAACTGTAATCGAACCTGGGTCCGCTGCGAGCGAATTGCGGAGGCGTTACCCCAGAGCTTCCCCACATCGCTAACCACCACCGCTTTATACTTAGGATTTTTTTAGTACCCGATGCCCACTGCACGCGCATTTATGAAAAATACAAAGAAATGGCCGTTAACAAAATGCCGCCCTAGCACTTTCAATGCATAGAGTTATGATGTACGCTAGAGCTGCAACTAGTGCTGTACTCCGTTCACCCCCTAAGCTGAGATTGTATTGGGAGATACGTACCCACCGGACCAATCAGCCGCCTACCTCTTATCACGTGACCCGGCTCTCTGCGCGTGGGTGTGGCCGGGAACGTGATGACGTCGCCAAAGAGGGGCGTATGATTGGTCCAACGACGACGTAGCTTCTCTCGTAGTCTCGGTTGTAGTGCAGTCTGAAATTGACCTCCGGTAATTCATTTCTTTATGGGAAAAAGTAAGGGCATTCTCTCCCTGCGCTTGATTATAGGAGCAAATAGCACGAATAATGTGTACGTATATACTAGATAGCTTCGAACATTTCTCAGTGACGCCGACGAAGATAATGGTCGGTTACCGCATTTTCCTTCAAACCCACGTCATTAAAAACGGTGCTAAAATGGCTTCGTACGTGTATTTATGTCCACTGTTCGACACTGTTGGCGCGAACACGGCATCGGCGCTTTTCTGCAGGGGGGTTACGTGCCAATGCAGTGAAGAGCAGATCTAAAATCAAGAGAGACATCAAGAACTACGTCCTTACACTGGATCAGCACCTTGCTGTGCATCCAAAGGATCAAAATAAAGTAAGGCCAAGTAACGAGTGCAATTTTCAATAAATAACATTCGTTTTATTCACTCTGCTTTTTATGTATGGGTGCAAATGTAGGTTTATTCTAGCGTTTGAAACTCATATCTACAATCTCGAAAACTTTTAAAATAGGACAAAGCCAGAAAACTCTATCCGCCCGCTAAATTCGGCACAATAATAATAATAAAACAAAACTGTTTTACGCGTTTTAGCCTCTCGTGAATGGGGTCAATTTAGTGGCATACAAATATCGGAGATTATAAATATTAGCGTTATGGGGATATTGGCGCTCGTTGAACAAGTCCTACCTTCCTTTGGACTGCACGTTATTTTTGCTGTGATTCGCAGCTTGTCTTACACACTCGCAGTGGAACATAAGACTGTTCTTGGAATACTGGAAAAATAAACATCGCTCCCTGAAAGGCAAAATACTGTAGTGCGCGTGTCGTCGACATCGACAGCGCGTGTCGTCGACAGCAATAATATAAAAGAAAGCGACAAATGTCAATATCGGCAAGAGGGTTTTGCGAAATACTGTGGTGTAGTGTCATATTATATACTGTATTTATTGTTTTAGCGTAAACGCGAATCTTTTGTCAATTTAACGGGCTCTTTGCTACTCATCTTCAACTGTCAGCAGAGGAAACCCGATCCAAAGGCTAAATTTAAAATAATTCAATCCAATCCACCGGTAGATCGCTTCGGCTTTGCGAACCCTCGTGCCCAACGCGCTAAGCTCTCGGAACTCGGGAGCGGCGTTTGCTTGGATCTGTTTGAACTTTCCGCTGCCATGGTGAGACCCCGTTCAAATATTTGGGTGAACTTCGATGTGCTCAAGAATGGTCAAAGCCAAATTTGGGGGTTTTACGTGCCAAACCAACGACGGGCATCTGGCACGCCCCAGTGGAGGACTGATGATTAATTTGAATCACCTGGGGATTTTTTGACGTGCAACCGAAAGCTCGGTTACCACGGCGCCTTCTCCGCAATAAGCCTCCGTCAGATTGCGGGCACCTCGGCCGGGATTCGAACCCGCCACATGGAGATCCGTAGCCCAGCGCTCTCGCCTCGAGGCCACCGAGGCGGCTGCTCAAGAATGGTAGAGGGCCAGCTGTGTGTAGATTTTGTTGTGTCAAGTACAAATTTCCAAATGCAACCCGCCTGAGGCTTCACATCGCAAGATGTTCAATGTGACCTCTGGACATTTGACCTGTTGCAGCACAGCCAAATCGGCAGGAGCGGAATCTGGAATGATGTATCCCTCAAGTAGAAGCGCTTCCGTGGAAGTTGTTAGGCCAGAACGTACACCACCAGAAAACGAAAGCGCAAACTTTCGAAGAGAAACCGATAGTCCTATCAACCCGCATACCTTGATGCATTTGTTGACAGAATGACACCGAAGTGCCAAAGGAAACTTGGTGAGGCACTCGCGCGAGCGATATATTCTAGTGGAACACCTTCATCACTAACCGAAAGCAGATACTGGATGGCCCGGATACGCACCGCCTTCCAGGCACTCGTTAGGTAATGAACTATTGGAGACGGAGTACGCCCGAGTGGTGACACAACTAGAAGACCAAATAAACTCTCCACTTAGTGTCACCCTACTCACGGACTGCTGAACGAATGTACGAGGCGACAGCATCTTGAACTTTGTGGTGGTCACTCCAAAGCCCATTTTCTAGAACGCCGTAGAGACGGAAGGGCACAGGCACACCGGAGAATACATCATAAGAGAGATTTCGAAGGTTATAAAAAACTTGGAACAGAAGAGGTTTTTGACCTGGTTACAGACAACGCACTCAACATCAAGGCCGCATGGACGATCCAAAGTCAACACTTGCCTCCCATCACCAGTTTGGGATGATGTGCTAATGGAATAATTACTGTTTTTCGATTCGTCGAAGATGGTGATAGTGTGGGAATTTCATCCAAGTCTGTAATCAAGTACGCAAAAAACTCTCACGCGGTTCCGGCCCACTTTGCAAAGAGACAAAAAGAGTTGTACGCTGAAAATCAAACAACAATTAAGTTACCAGTGGAAACTCACTGGGCAGACATCTTAATGTCACTGGAGAATACTTTGAAAAACAAAGGAGTGCTAAAAACACAGCGTTATTGCCATTGATATTTAAGTGAGTAGAAAAAAGTAAGTACAACGGAGTTAGACGAAGGTGACTTTTGGCGAGATTTGCAGAGCGGTTTTCACTTGTTGGATCCAGTTCATCGCTCTACTGTTCTGTTCACTGCTGTCCTATCAGATGTTTATGAGCTCTTCTTCAAAGTAACACTGACGAGTCGAAGAGGCCCTTCCAGACTGCCTTGACTACCAACAAAAAAGAAACAGCAGCAGAAATCTAGCGTAAGCGATTTAACTTTATTTGTCGTCCAGCGCATGCGGCCGCAAATTTGCTTGACCCGAAGTACGGAGGAAAGTGCTTGAGTAAAGAAGGTGTATGCCGTGTTATGATTACATTACAGAAGGGGTAGGGAGGTTAGGTCTCAATGCGGGAAATGTGTAGTCCAATCTCTCTGAATACAGAACCCTGTCAAGTGCGTGGTCAAGTAAGGAACTGGGCGATCCGGCAAAGCATGTCTCACCGTTCACGTGGTGGCAAGTGGTCTGTGCATCTCCTCCCCCGACACCAATTGCCTTTCGCCAACTTCGTGTTACACCATGAACCGCTGCGTGCGAACGAAACGGGTCGAAGTTGGGCACTGTCCCCAACAAAAGTAGGAAAAGGATTGAAGGACAGAGAGTTGGAAATCTGGTGTTCGTACGCTCGAACCTTGATCTGATGGGTCTTGATCTGACTTACGACAATGGAAATGACTCATTTCATGAATTCAGAGTAGCCTAAATTAATATACTGCTTTGGAACGTGCTTCTTGTTTGAGCGAATGAATCAAATAAGCAAATATGTGCTTGTTTAATCGTTGTTTGTTTCAAGTTTGGTTGTGTTCTGTTCGTAATAGTTACAGCTGTAGCCTTGGAAGACAGAGGGAGATGCGAAAATAAATGAACGTTCAACTTGCACTATTCCTTATAGAAGTCGTGTATTGCTTTCACTTGAATGGTCAACATGAATCAAATGTTCGTCAATCATGATGCTATCATTCTCAAAAGTACGCACTTGCCTGTGCAATAGTGGAGGCTCGATTGCGTATTATGGGATAAATGTTTTCGTTGACTAACATCGTGTTCTCCTGTTGACGGAGCAGTCGCAGCCGTATTGTTTGGGAAACATCTCATAGATGATGTAAAACTTTGGCTTCTTTCATATGTATGCACACATTGCATCCACAAACGTAAAACGGAACTATAAGTCATAGTTCCCCTATTTTCAATATTCTTCTAACTTATCTTGATATAACCTTTTCGAAAACGTTTTTGCTATACTGTCACGCGAGCCATGCCGCACAGAGAAAAAATGGTTCATAAATTTTAGTGCAATGCAAGCAACACCACCACGGAACGAGGAGCAAACTACTTCAAGCGCTTGAGTTTCTTACCTTATACCGCTGTCGTACTGCTTCTCTTTCTTATGGACTGAGAAAACCTAATATATCGGCTTCGTGAGAGAAAATGAAACCTAATACATTGGTCCGCATGAATAACGTATGAAAAACTCAAACTCTGCGGAAATGTGGCGCTAGTGGTGGGGATAGAATGTCAAAGTTTGAGAACAGGATTTAACCTGGATCAATACATAAAACCGTGAAGCAGACTCCCTGTGAGCTCACGTAAACCTTAGTTTAAGAATCGTCAAACCAAAAAAATGGAATTCTGGGCGCCTGCAGCATTTATATCAATGTAAAGCTTGCCAGCAAGCAAGAAAGCAATACTGCCTTTTTTTCTGACTAACGTTTAAAAAAATATATAATTTGCAACCGGCTCTCTCTGATTGTGTGATTTTTCAATTTCACGAATACTGGCTTAGGAGGGCGTTGGCTCAGAAAATGCTCGCGCCTCTGTTTTATCTTTCGATACAAATATCGTAATGTTCACAAACTTACGCATTTTATCATCAGCGCTTAAGCGCCACATCCTCAATATTCTTCAGCCTTCTGTGACGTGTAGTTAAATCATGCAAGCCGGAAAACTGGAGCTTATTTTCTCTCATGAGCCCGGCATTTAGTAGGCAGCCATTATTATTCCGCCATCGGCTTTCTCAACGCAATTAAATGAAAAGATGCGTGTCATCGCTATTTTAGTTTGGACGCAGTCATTACTTTCCATTTCGACGTTGGCTACAAAGATTGTTTCAACAAGTTTTTTAATACGTGAATAAACTAAATCTTTGATGGGCGGGGCTCTTAATTTTATGTCCAGGGAAAAAAACTCAAAAGAGAAACAATTCTCTTTTCTTCGAAATTCTCGTTGTTTTTTTCTTCTTTTCTTTGGTTACTGGCATTCCTACAATAGCCAGAGCCACTGCGCTTTTTTGGTCGCACTGAACGTTGTGGCTTACCCTTTGAATTGTTACGCACATAGCTTTCTCGCCAGTCACTATTTCGCCCCTGACACCTCAGCTGGAGCGCTGTGGACTTCCAAACACAAACTGGTTCGCACCCTTGGCTTTCTAGCGTCATGCCGAAGATGGCGTACATTCCTAATGGACTAGAACCTCTCACAAATCACCAGGTAGGTTTCCTTCAAAAAAAATAAAATATTCTTTATTTGCGACGGTTCTCATTGAATAAAAATGTCAAACAAAGGCAGTTGTTCGCGCAAGTTTTGTTGCCTGTAATTCGTTCTCCCAAAGGCACATGACGTCTGAGCCTCGAGTCTTGCAGTCGATCCAAGCTTGCATCCGTTCTAACAGTTCGGGTGAGAAATGTCCTCGCCAGTCACCTGTTGTTCCGTGTCGCACAAAACCCAACCTGGTTCCGTTTCGTTTATTCGTCCAATCCTCTTCGGCCTCTGGATGCAGCGGTCGATGCTTGTGAATCGCACAGAGTTCCTCTTGACTCACGTCGAACGTCCTCTTCATGAATTCGACGCTGCTCTTGGAGAGGATTTCCTCCATGAGTCCGGGGTCCTGGTCAAACATGGAGGCGTAGGGATCGCCGAGAAACTTGGCCATCTTGAGTACGGAACCCGCTGTGTCTTCCTTCAGCTCCTCGTAGGTCAGGAAGAGAACGTTGGCTTCGTGTCGCAGAGCATAACCGGATAAAACGTGTTCTAAGTGATCCCCCTGACCGACCCTGCCTTTGATGAACGCTTCGACGAATTCTTCGAAGGTGCCGTCTTGAAACCGATAATGTGGTCGCGTCTTGACGTGGTGATAGAAGGACACGCACGTGTCCCAGGGATTGCGTGCGACGTAGATGTACTTGGCATCTCTGGAGTACTTGAGCTCTCGGAATGAAAAGTGCGTGCGGAGCAACCTTGGTGACTGATCGGAAACTGACGCTCCCAACAAAGTGATCGAGGGGGCTTGTCTTACGAAGTCTTCGAGGTCAACAGGAGATTTACCTCTGTTGAGAAGGAGAAGGACAATCTGTGCGACCCAGTGCGTTCCAGATTTCCGGTGGGTCACAATGATGACATCTTTGGCAGTTGGTTCGAACTTCAAGGCTTCACGAACCGCCTCTGCTGTATAGAGAGGGGACCGCGGGACGCCATCGGTTATGTGGAGGTACGGTGTCCTCGCCCGTGCCACACTCATGTTGACTTACTCGGTCGCTCGCTGTTATCTAAACCACCTGTAAAACAAAAATATATTGCTTTTAATTAACGCATTTAAGATAAAATTTCACTTTCATAAGTAAAAGCACACGGACCGCACAGGTTTTGAGGCACAAGTCTGTCACTGAGCATTTTGCCTTTCTCTATCTAAGCTTACTTCACTTTAAAAGCGATGAAAAGCTGAACAAGCTACTTCTACATAAATAAATGCCGGGAAGAATTTATTTATTATGTAACAAAACCCTCCCAGGCGTTCTGAACATCGCACGTGCTAGACGAATTATCCGTGCGTGGTCGCAACACTTTCATAGACCAGGGGGCTATGTTCGACAAATGTTTCGTTTTTCCTCAAAAGAAACGGAAGTGACGGAAATAACGATATCGCGTCTGATTGGCTAGAGGCTCAAATGACGAAAGAGGGAATTTTCGTCAATTGAGCTTTTAAGCAATCAGACGCGGTGTCGTCACTTCCATTTCTTCTTAGGAGAAACGAAACATTTGTCGAAATTAACATTGCAATCCAGGAGGGTTTTTCTTGTGACAAAAAAAATTGGGGACGTGCGACACCCATAAGGGCGCACCACTCCACCCTACCAGCTAGACGGCAATGCCACCTATAATAGCGTACACGTTTTTATTTATTTTTTTATAATAATACTTTTATTGTTTTAGTTAACATAAATACATCAATCGGGCTTGTCAAACCCGTAAAAACTTGTGTGACGGGACCCGGGAATCCATCCTACGCTTTGTGACTTTCCCTTCCTTTTACACAATTTAAATAACAATTTGTAGAGCAAATAGAAAAATAGAATATACCAAAATCTTTTCCTCGCATTGATCTATCAACAAAATATACGTACGCTTAAAAGACTTTCTTACACAAAAACATATTTTGTGAACATTCAAAGTATGCTTACAAACAAACAAAAAAAAATTTTATTTTGTGTTAGCCGAGTCATGTATTGAAATTTGTTCAGCAATCATTGCCCTCTATTCTCAAAGCGCTTTGCACCGTAGTGTATTTCCTAGCTGCAGTCTACGATGGATGTAACCTTACATCAAGGAGATAAATTACCTATACTATCCATTCCCTTCTAATGACCACTTCCTTACCTTTTTTTTTTTTTTTTACTTTCTTCAGTAAAGTAATAGTCATCAATTCTTGTGGAAATTTGTTAAAATAGTAGGGCATATACAATTTTTGCAACCTTTTCCCGTAACTTTTATGTATTCTAGGAATAATATATCGCTGTGTGCGCCTTAGAGGTTTTGTCTTGCGAAATTTGTTTAAAACCATCATTTGAATAATAATGCTTAGTTATAATGACAATTTGGAAGAGTTTTCTGAGAGGCATAACGTTCATGGCGATGTGTTCTTTTTTTTTTTTTGGAGGGGGGGGGGGGGTTCTAGCGTGTGATGTTGGGATCCATAAGCGATATTCTCAAGTATTTTAGAAATTATCTTCTTAATAGCTTGTAATCTGCCCGCTGACTATGTTTCATATACTGTTAATCTGTATCGGAAAACAGATTCTCTCAATGCCCGGTAAACTTGTCGCAATTTAATGTTAGCCCCACTTCGAAGTCTATTTACAGTATATATATATATATATGAAGATTCATGAACTGTAGAAAAACGAGGTAAGGTTTATTGACTTTTCGAGAGGAGGCCTCCCTTCTTCGGAATGACGATTGAGGGAACTTGGCACGATTTTTCAGTAGTTCCGCAAAGTAAACAGTAACAACACAAACATAATTTATACAAAAAAAAATGAGGCCGAGGAGTAGGGTTGGCTCACTTCCAATTAGCCAAGAGGCAAAACCAGCGTTGCTTCCGACGAAGACGGCCTCTCAACCAACCCCAGGGCGCTCCGCGGTCGGGGAGGCCGAAGAGACACGGGAAGGACCCCTTCAAAAATGGGAACACCGCGACCCGTAAAAATACATCAACATAGTTTTGGAGGCGGTATAAACAGCAACCAACAAACCAGCAATGGAACAACCAAGGGTAAGAGTGGTTCCTTCTCCACCAAGGGTCGAGAAAGAACGCAACAACAACGCCGAAAGAATTACTGGAGAATTTGTGTTGGAAATGTGGAAATGTGGGAAATGCTCTTCGAATCGTAATTGCGAATGTGGCTCCAATTTAATTCTTGCGTTCGCGTTTAGATTCAGATGTCAATGACTTGAAGTGGTGTTAATATCTCGGGATCTTCGTTAATCCCTCTTCGCAATGTGTTGAACTCACGAATTAGGAATGATTCCTTCTGTTCCCGTTCGCGACGCGAACCAAATGCAGACTCTAAGAGCGTGACAGTTAACTTCTCGAATGAGTGGTCAGGTAGTTTTAGGTGGTTTGAAACAGGCAGAGTGGGCTTTGTTTCGGCGTCGGATCTATGATTATTGAACCTTATCCGGAATATAGATATTGTTTGGCCCACATACTTCCTGTGACATTCCCCACACTCCGGTAGATATACAATGTTGGCAGTAGAGCCGTCTAGATCACCCCGAATTTCGAACGCCAAGTTTGATCCAGTGCTTCTAGCTGTCTGGGTGAGGGAGGACCTGTGGGCAAACCTCACATCGCGGCCTCAAGTATGGTCGGCTCCCAATGTTCTGCACTGGGGTGGTCCTGGCCCTCATCATCGTATCTTTTAGGTTTCTAGGGGCGCCTGAATACAACACGTGGTGGGGAAGGAAATATGTTTTTCAGTCTTTCGCTTTGTTAGATAATATTAAGATGTTTTTTTAGAATGTTGTTGATGTTAGGCGTGTTGTCTGAATACGTTAAAACTAGGTTGTTCTTACGATTCTCACTTTGGTCTGGCGGCCTGCCAGTTATCAGTTTATCGCGGTCTAGTGCCCTGGCCCTCTCGATTTCGTTGTCAATGACGGGTGGTGGATAATTTTGCTCGATGAGGGCGCCCTGAAAGTTGGCTGCATTGGCGTTGAAGTCGCTTTCGTTCGAGCATATCCGCCGGAATCTGTGCGCCTGGCCATGCGGAATACTAGTTTTACAGTGGCGGGGGTGGCAGCTGTTGTGATGCAAATATTTCAAGCTATCTTTAGATTTTCTGTAGAATTTTGCTTTTAAACTCTCTGCCACCACCACGACCGTGACGTCAAGAGTGAGCCAACTCTCCTCCTCGCCTTCATTGTTTTCTTTTTTTGTGTTTGTAAATTAAGTTTGTGTTGTTACTCGTAGTTTGCGTAACTACAGAAAAATCGTGCCAAGTTCCCTCAATCGTCATTCTGAAGAACAAAGGCCTCCTCTCGAAACACGTAAATAAACGTTTCCGACCCACAAGCTTCAATCATCACACACACACAGACACACACACACACAGAGATACACACACACACACACACATATATATATATATATATATATATATATATATATATACAAACCCTGACCCAGGTCGAAACGTCGACCAATATGTGATAACACTTCACTAAAATATTTCAAGTAAGTTTACTCTTACATATATCTATCTATATATATATATATATTGTATATTGGGAGTGAAGGAACATTGACGGGTGCAGCCGTAGTAATATTGTAAACGAAAAGGGGTGAGAGCGTTTTTGAATTGTGTCATTAATGCCCTTTTTTTCTTCTTTACTTCACCTGTTAGCTGATTTACAAAGTCCCAGGTTTGTTTTGAATTTGAAGTGTTATTTATAAATTACTTACCATAGCATGTTCTCTTCGGATCTTCGCATTGAGTTTGTTACTTTTTGAGCGAAATTCTTCTCTACGAAAAGTATTGTTAGAATTTTGCTTAGGCATGGTCTATAACCTTTCTTAAGGTAGCACAATTCCATAATTTTTTTTTTATTAATCCACAAATTTTCAAATCGCCTTTGCTTTAGTTTTTTTTTTTTTTTTTACACCTTGCAAATGTTCCTAAACGCATCTATTAGACTCTCGTATATTTGTATGTGATCTATAGTCGGTGACAGGTCAAGAACGAAGTGGAAGCTCCTCCCACCTCTTTCTACCTTAATAGAGCAAACGCTGGAGAGGAGGCCACCTCCTCTCCGCCGTTTGCTCCGCTGAAGTGGAAGGGGGTGGGAGGAGCTTCTACTTCTTTGTTGACCTGTCACCGACTGTATACTTGATGAAAGAATTCCAGTCATATTGTGGATTTAGTTTATCGACGTTTTTTTATTTATTTATTATTATACGTGCTTTGTTTTGAGTTTGTTCTTCAACTTCCATATTTTCTTCGAAAACTATTAAAGTCGTAAAACAATGATCCGCCATATTTTCCTAACTACTCTAGCAAACGTGGATGAACTATCCATCTTAACCAATATATTGCCACCCGCAGAGCCGAGAAGGCAACGCTCGGTCACGGTCTTCTAGAAGATTCCCGGTCATTCTCGCAGCAGACGTAACTTTCCTTCTGCTTTGTTATTCTCGAAAGTGCCAGTTCATCCTCGCCCCGAGCGCGCGACGCTCGAACCTTCTTTGCCGAACTTTCGAGATAGTGACGCACGGTAGATAAGCAACTGCCCGCGACCTTGTCGAGTTAGTCCCAGTCTCGCTAGCGCTCTGTAGTGCCGCCGAACCGCCGCCCGCTTTTCTGCTGCCTCGACGCTCTTTCGTTATTTCTTTTTGGTTGGCACAAGTTCGCCCATTAAACCTTTCTTTTCAGTTCATTGTTCGCCTTCTCGTCGCCTTAATTCGTGACATTTCTGGTGGAGGTGCGGGGTACAAAACCCGTGCAGCGTACCCCTAGAAGAACTCGGTCAACAAGCCCCATTTCCCGACGACCTTCCGTTGAAGACTCAGAGCATCGTGCCAGCCGCCGTCTTCAAGGGCAAGCTCCTGAACTCGGACCCCCGCCGCGGAAATCAAAGAAGAAGACCGCGACGATGACCGCTCCGCCCGTCGTTGTCCTGCCCGTCGCCCCCCGATCGCCGACAACTTTCCATGGCGAAATTTATGAAGACGTCGAGGACTGGATCCTTCACTATGAGCGCGTCGCCCGCCACAACGGAT